AACTCTGCCCATTAAACACAATGTCTCACCATGGGAAAGACGGATAAATTTGCCAGAATATTTTATGAGCACTTGCCACAAAGCTCTACCAGATTTTATAGGGAAAACTTACAATGAATGTTCCCAAACCCCTGAAAGGCGTGAGACCAGCTGAGGTGTTGTGCCTTTCACCAACAGCACATTTACCTTTGGATTCCAGGAAACAAAGGACCCTTTTCAGTTGCACACCAAGGTTCGCGCTATTTGCACATTTACACAACACATGGCACATGAGGAAAAAAAAGTTTGCCTTCCACAGCACACAGATTTTTAAAAAATAATTATATCCTTAAAGCCATTTAAAATTCACACCTCTTGCTGAACATGCTGTTAGCATCTATTTTTGTCTGTCAGGTGCTTTCTTGAGCCTTCTGAAATAATTTTGCCCATGCTTGTTTAGTAGTTTCCCATGCAGCCATATGTGTGTGTCTTGGGGGGTTGGAAAGAACTTTAAAATTGGAAAGAACAATTTGAAGATAGGTGGATAGAGAGGCAGTGAATATTTCATCTCTCATCTAAAATGAGCTCCCTTTCCAGGACATCTATTAAAAAGAAATGGAACATGCAAACATATAAAAATAAATTCGCATGAAGAATGGAGTGCTATCCATGCAGATGTGGGAGTAAGCAGGACATTCTTCTGAACAGACAAATGGGGTGTTTCTGTTTAAGACCATTTTATACATGTCTATTCTGCAGTAAGTACCACTAAACTCAGAAAGGCTTATTATAAAATACAGGGGACACAGGGGATTGCCTCTATTCTTTAATCCTGGGACTCTGAAATTGCAATTGACAGGCTTCCTGCTACACTTGACTTTTTATATATTTTAAATGAGGGTTAATTAAAGATAATGAGAAGGTGGCATAGTGCAAAGCAAAGCACTCCCTGCCAATGTAATCTGTATCTCTAAGGGGGCCTGGGAGGGTTGTTAAACTTATCTGGTGTTCTTTAAAATACCAAACTGTCCAATTTTTTTTAAAAAGGCCAAATATTTCACTCTGATCCCCACTCGTGATATTACTACTTTTTTGCCAAGTACCCTGCAGGCCTTAAAGCCATGTTAGCAATATAACAAATATAACAAATATTTGTTATATAACAAATATTTGTTATATAACAAAAATAAAATGAGGTGCTGCTTTTAACTAGGGGGAAATAGCAATGCAAAGGTTATAAATGTAGCCTTATTGCTTGCTTAATTAGTGATTAAGAGTAGTTAAGTCTGCAATCGCATCGATGCAAAATTCCTAAACTTTTCATCCTGAGAAGGGCAACCTCCTATTAATCCAATCCAGGCAGAGGATACAGAGATTATGAACTTCAGTTACACTAAAGTTGGCTAGACCTACATACCTCCATCAGCTTCCTTTGTCTTGAGCTGCCATGAGACTGCTGCCCATAGAGACTTTTCCACCAGAGATAACCTACATTGGACATCTTTGGAGAAAGTACGAGGGCCCCATTCTCCAATCTGTCAGCCTTCAGATGTTTAGGATTTTCTCACTTTAAGGCCATGCTGGCTGAGCAGTGATTGATTGATTGATTGATTGATTGATTAGGTACCATCAACTCTTACCAACAACATCAATAGACCTTCTCCAGGATGATCTGTCCTCACATCTGTCCCTTCAGATCTGTCCTTTCTTTAGAAAGAAGTCAATCCACTGCCAACTTGGGCAATTGTTTGGAAAGATAACAAGCATTTTGTGGCAATCTGGGAAAAATTACATCTTTGAATTTTGAAAACTCCTGAATAAGCTTTGTAGTTATGGACTAAAAGATCAAGCCTTTGTGCAGACTGATAACTAGCTTGAGCTTAAGAACAAACAGTTTTTACAGGGCAATTTTCACATCTCTGTATTAGCAATGGTATTAATAAATTTATTTATAAAAGATTTAAAATCTCAAATAAGCAGTGGGTGAGCCAAGCCTGGAGATGACTTTAAATTATTCAGGACAATAAAAATCCAAGCACGCTGTGAAGTGCTTGAAAATAGTTCCTCTAAAATGGATCACATGGGAAATTAATGGAGAACATTCATCTCAATGGCTATTAGTCATGATAGCTATATGGCATCTCGGGTTTGAGTACAGTATATTGTGTTTCCTTCTTGATAGGAAACAATAATGAAAGGCTGCTGACTGGAGAGCCTATTAATGGGATTCTCAAAGTCATTGGGATGGGTGACAGTCAAAGATGTGAGTACTTTGAAAATCTTAGTGCTGTTTTGAATTTTAGGGCATTTTCAGTTGGGCAGCTTGGACATCACACTAAGCAAAGACTGTGCAACCTATGGTTCGAATTCTACACCCAGCCCCTCAAAGCCTTACATGAAAAACCTCCCCAAAAGTTGCCTTTGAACCATCATGTTTAATATGACAGAAGATTATTAAACATATGTAGAACAGTGTTCGTAACTGTACTTAATGTAAAATTAAATCACATCTTATGTTTATGTTTCATTTTGTCTAAGCTTCATCCACTTTTTGCTGCTGGACCCATGGGCTTTCTGGAAAGGAATTCTCAGGATGCCATTCCAGGACCAAGAGGCTTCACATGTCCACACTAGATCATAAAAGATATCTTAGCTGAGCCACAAAGGTGCCCTGTGCACTCTTTGGTTCTGCCTGCAAGCCACTGACGTCAACAAGCCATTCACAAGCTGGGTGAGCCAGCTGTATGTGGCATTCAAGAAGAAGCTCAAGTCATTAACAAGGGAAAAACAAACAATGGCTTTGTTCCTGAGTTGTTTTCAGAAAGACAAAACCAGGGTACATTCTAGTTCAATAATCTAACCAGTTCACAGACAGAGTCAGCAATTGTGAGCAAGTGACAATTGATGCTAAGCCATTAAATGTTTGTATCTTTCCTCTTGAGAGCTTTATTAGACATGGCCTTCACCAATCTAAGCTAACTCCATTTAAACAAAGACAACTGCATGAACGCATTTTTAGGAAGCAACCAATCCTAATTTTTGCCTCAAAATCTTTTTAGACCATAACTCTAAGTTGGTTAGTATTTCTGGGTCTGTTTAGAGACATAGTGGAGGATACAGAAATCTTAGGAACCTTGGAATCCAAAATTTTTCCTACTCCACCCTAAACTCACTTCCAACTTGCCATACTGTATTGGGGCTTTCCAAAGCTGTGGAGCCCAAGTGTGATTTTTTTCTGTTCCTTTGCTAGACCTCCTACTTGCATGTTGTTGGGTAGGCTTGTCCTGCTCATTCTTTTTTCTATTGCTTGTCTTTTAGGCTGTATTCTGTGTTTATAGAATGAAGGCTGCCTTCTTGCCCATTCAAGCAAAAGGTTCCATTTCTGATTCATGGTTTTCGTCTGCAAATCAGAAAATTACCTGGTGGATGAATTGTAACAATCTTATAACAACTTTGTAACAACCTTACTGTTGAATTATGAAGACACTTTTGTTCCCACTAACTGTGCCATTGCATAAAAATAATTATATCAGAGAGGTTCGGACACATTGTGCGAAGACCCAGCTCTCTGGAGGGGGCTGTGATGCTGGAAGAGGTAGAAGGAAGGAGAAGAGGAGTGAAGTAGATGGACTTGGTTGTGGTGGTGATGAGTGCACCATTGGGAGACTTGAAAGAATAGGTTGGGGATAGATCACCATGAAGAAAATCTGTCTATGTGGTTGCTAGGAGTTGAAAAAAACTTGATGGCACATAATTAGTCAATTTAGGGAGAAAGGGTGAATTCTATTTATTTAGGCCTCTCAGCATGGGGTCAGTTTATCAGATGCTTTAGGGAGATCCTTGTGCCATACCAAAACAAAAAAACAAGGTGTTTGTTGCCCTTGGCATAAAAAATACTAAGCCTCTTCAGTATGGGGGTCTGTGTTTTCATTGCAATTACTTGGCTTTGACATTTCCTGAAACTTGTAAAATCACAAGATCAGCATGAAAAGCATCATGTGCTGCTCAACTACTTATTCAAAGAAGTCCATTGAGGTAGAAAAGGATTAGAAGCAGAGAGAAAGAGAAAGGGTTTTGCCAAACCAAATAGTTGGCAAGGCTAGGATTAGAAGGCAGACAGAAATCCCAAACAAATTAGCGCTCCTTGGTTCCGGAGTAGAGAAACAGGGGGAAAAAGGGGGAATGAAAGGAAAATTCTACCAAGAAAGGCTCAAGAACTTCTGAAAACAAAAAAGGTAAAAGGCAGAGATCTTGGAAAATATACCTTGGAGAGAAATTAGAGTGATAAAATGCATAATAAATGTAATTTATACTTGGGGTTCAGGAAATTAAGGACAATCTAGGGATACATTTATCAGAGCAGGAATGTAAAACAATTAGGTATCGCAAAATACTATTATGATAATTAATGCATGGAAAGTTTTCTTGCTTGATATGCTTGGAAATATAATGGGAGGATCAGACACAATGCAATTGTGATCGTTTATATTTGTGAAGAGGGAGAAGCAGGAGACAGGAGGACAGAAATATGTGGATTGAAATGGATTAATTCTATAGATACAGGAACACCTGTATGGATGTACAGTTTCTGCTTTCTCAGAGAATGATGAAGGCAATGTTTAAACTTAAAATATGTCATGGTTCCTTTAGATCTGCAACAAGTGTGTATGCATCTTCCTTTTTTTCAAACCCCATACTGGGGCTTACAGTACATTCAGGGAGGAATTATTTTAAATGATCTAAAGTAACAACACTTTTAAGTATTGTTGTTTTGAATGTTGATACTGATAATCATGCACTTTAGAAGAATATTGCATTCAACTCTCCTTCAAAAAAAAATTGAAGTGATCTATTCCTTTTCATTGATGAAACAGGAGTTTATAGTACTAAGTACAGGAGTTTTACATCCTTCTTATTTCTTTATTTTAGAGCCTGTATTCCTACAAAGAAATTAAGAGAATTTCCCAGATACCTAGAAACACAACATTAGAGCGTTGCTTTTGTGGGATCTGAAAATTACTATGCATCTTGCAATACTGTTACTTCTCCTGTTGGAAGCAGTTAATGCTCAGTTTCCCCGACAATGTGCTACAGTGGATGTGCTGATCCAAGGCGAATGTTGCCCAGACCTGTCTCCTGTGTTGGTTCCTGGTTCAGATCGCTGTGGATCATCTTCTGGAAGAGGGCAGTGTGTACAAGTGATAGCAGATTCTCGACCCCACGGACCTCAATATATGCATGATGGTCGAGATGACCGTGAGCAGTGGCCTCTCCGTTTCTTCAATCGAACTTGTCAGTGCAACAACAAATATTATGGATATAACTGTGGTTCATGTCGACCTGGCTGGACCGGCCCCACCTGTGATCAGCAGATTAAAATAGGTAAGCACAATAACAAGAAAGAGAACACGGTCCTATTTCTATTCCATCTTTTGGCACACAGGTGCATCTTTTTTAGCCCTTCCAGTAACAATGCTGATGTTTGAAGAATGGATTCATGAGGTGCCCACCTGTTAATCTTAAATGACAATGTGTTGCCATCTATCTTTACATTTATTGGTCACCCAAACCTGAGTGTCTAAATCCAAAAGAAAAGCAGGCTTTTAAAAATATGAAAGAAAACAAATAAACTATAAGCAAATATTTGGGAAGAATATGTACGATCATAGCTGGACTGACAATTTAGTGCTAACTTGTTTCACACTGATGTGGTACACCTTCCAGCTTCTTGCTTCTTCCCCACTAATAAATTTCCCACAGATGATGATAATGATGATAACAACAACAAGAAGACCTGAAGGACGAGGAATATAAAAGTCAGAAAATATTTTGTTGTTCTTTGAACAGTTCTTGGTAGCAAGTTCCCTAGAAGATATAGAGGTAACAGTGGCCCTCTAGCAATATGTTTCTGTTCAGGACATTAAGAATTATTCTAATGGAGTTTTTCTATTTTGCTTGATTTCAAGAAATGGGGCGAAGATTGGCTGTTCATTTGTCTTTCTAATGGTACATGGAACTTGGGTAATTCCCACGTTTAAGCATTCAGCAAGGTGAAAGAATGTGTGCATATTCAGTATTTAGTAAAATGAAGACAATTACTGTATGAATTTAAGATGCTCTCAAAAAAGAGTAGGCAGAATTTATTTTCAATGACATTTTCTGCTCTTATTGAACAATAAAAATGACCCCTCTCCTCAGTTCACATGCAATTATTTGGTGAAAAAAAATGATGTTCCTATCAGGCAAACCCAATATATTAATTAGTCCAATAAATGAATACTTTGTGCTGAATCAGGAAGCTGGGGAAGAAGTCAGAATTCAGAATTTTTTAAGAACAGTTCTTAGTTCTGTATCCTAAACCTTAGAAATTACATTGGGTATGTTAGGAAATGCAGTAGATTATCTGAATTTCTTTCAGTCAACATTCAGGCCTGCGTATAGGACAGAATCTACCTCATTCATCCTGGTGGATGACCTTTATCAGGAACTGGATGGGAGGAGTGTATCCCTCTTGGTCTTTTTAGACCTCTCAACAGCTTTCAAGACTGTTGGCTATATATCCTTCTGTTCCATCTATGAGACCTGTGGATTGCAGGCCCTGTTTTACAGAGATTTCACTCCTTCCTAAATGGGCAGTACCAGTTGGTTGTGGGGAGGAAATGTCCAGGCATCTATGGTTTGTCACTCTCCTATCTGTTCTTTAATATCTGTATGAAGATGTTGGGAGAAGTCATTCAGCAGTTTGGGCTGAAGTATCATCAGTATGCTGGTGATACCCAGCTCTACATTTCAGCCCCCAACCAATCCAGGGTTGCAGTGGAAGTATTAATCAGTTGGAGGCTATAAGGAATTGGATGGGTAGAAACTGAGATTGAATCCCTGCAAAACAGGGGCACTGTTTGTCCAGAAGACACCTGACCTTTTCCCTGCCCCAGTGATAAATTTGGGGAGGTACTGTCCCTGAAATAAGAAATCCATGACTGGGGTTCCTCCTAGACTCACAGCTAATGCTAGATAGACAGTGGAGGCTGTAGCTAGAGAAGGCTTTGTCTAGCTTCAGCTCTTCCTGAATGATGTTCTGACCACAGTTACCCATACCCTTATAATGATTAGAATTGATGACTGGCATGTGTGCTACATGGGATTGGCTGGGAAGCTGCAGCTGGTGCAGAGTTCAGGAGCCTCTTGCTAGCAAGTGAAAGCTATCCATGTCATATAACACTGGTTTTGCAGGTGAGCCATTGGTCTCCATTAAGCTTCGGACTACAATTCAGAGTGCTGATTTGGTTGATTGCTTGGCACCTGGCTAAGCTCTACCTGTAGTGCCTCCTGTTGTTCCAAATGCAGTGTTTAGAGACCCCTTCCATCTGAGATCAAGGAAGGGAAATAAGGGCATGATATTTTCCCCTTTATGAGTCATCCCTGTGGAATAGTTTATTATCAGAGATTCAGATGGTGTCCTTCCCTGATGGCATTCAGGAGTGCAGTCACAATTCATCTCTTTCACAGAAATTGTAATTAAATTACAAATATGTTATTAAATAAGATTTAATGAATATAAGTATAGCCATTGACTATGGACACCAGGATTAGGCTGTGATTTTCTAGAGACAGCAACTGTGATAGAGAGGGATTGTTTTAACTACTTTCATGAACTTCATGAAAATCTTTTGCCAAGGGTCCATGCGGAGCTGGTGATATACAAAGACTCTAAATAAATAAATACGTTTTCTCCACCATTCACCATTTCTACCTGCTATAGAGTAAAGAATGTTTTCAGACTGCAATGTGCGTGTAAGATTTGCAGAGGCAAAGGTATGGTTAAAAAAAAAATAATTGGCAAAGGTACCAGCTTCCTTGTTTGTCTGTTGTTTGTTTAAGTGAAGGTAAAATATCAGTTACTATAACTTTCCCTTACTGAAGCCTTTGTTCCAATATGCAGTGAGGGCTTCTAAAAACTGTAGCTAGTGAATGAAGATAAGGAAGCTGCATTCTTCACCATGCAGTCGGAATGTGTTTTCTGTGGCAATGCATGCTCTAAGGCTGTGGTGCATGACCTACCTCCTAAAAAACTCTGAATTTATCATTCATCAAAGGGCAAGTCAGTAAGCAACCCATTCTTTTTACCCATAGACACATTTATTCAACTTCAAGGGACAGATTCATTGATAAACCAATGAATGGTATGAACTGAAATTAAAAAAAAATAGATTTGGAACCCTGTTATAATTGATGAGGTTCATCAAATACCTTTTTTTGAAATTCATCAGATTGTAAATGTAGTGAATACTATGATGATTTTGCTTGGACTCTTCTGTTAAAATAACAACAAACAGTATTTATGCTGATATATACTATATGGGCTCTTCTGGGAGGAAAAGTAGTACAGAACTAAAGTAAACCTCCTTGTTATGTCTACATTGCCTCAGGAATCCAGTTTCACATTTGTGCAGTTTTGATGATAGCACAAAGGAATGCAGGGTTAACCTATGAATCTGAAGAATGGCTCATACATCTATTTTTGCCTCAAAAGTGGTAGCCCAAATCAAAAGCATCCACATTGCATAAACTGACCTACACACACAAGGTACTTACTCTCCCTGTAATGAAGGTGGGAGGGGTATGTGATATGTTAATTTAGAACAATTTATTGGGTCATAGAAAAGCTAAAGGGTTTCATCGAAGGCTATTGTTCCAATTCCCAGCTCCCAAAACAGTCACATTATTTACAGAAGCCTTCCCAAAAATCTCTGGCTTTATAACTAAATAAAATAAAATTATAGGATCTAAAATCCTATACTTCTGTGGAGCCCCCATTCTGGTTCTATACTTTATTTTAATATGTTTAAGCATTTATATCCATCTTCTTTAGGTACAGCATCTTGATGAAGCATGATTTGAATTTGAGCTAGCTCTTTTTCAACCAGGATAACCTGTATTCTCAATCTTCTCTTGATATTAATGCATTTTCTTTAATATGGCTTTAATTCTATTTCCTTGATCTCTAGTTAGAAGAAATCTTCTGGATCTTAGTAGTGAAGAAAGGAGTCGGTTTCTAAGAGTCTTACAGCAAGCCAAAACTACAATGCACCCTGACTTTATGATTGCAACCAGGAGACGTGAAGAGATTATGGGCCCTGATGGCAATACTCCACAATTTGAAAATGTGTCCATTTATAACTACTTTGTGTGGTCTCATTATTACTCTGTCAGAAAGACTTATCTTGGACCTGGACAGCAGAGCTTTGATGGAATAGATTTCTCCCATGAAGGACCAGCATTTCTCACCTGGCACAGATATCACCTACTACAGCTGGAGAGAGATATTCAGGTAAAGTATTTTTATTTATGTTACCTTCTATCAGATCAAAGAACAGGGAAGCCCCCATCTCATCTTCAGATAGGGAGTATACAAGGCCGCTTCCTATGGATGGAAATAAGAGCATGATTTTTTTCACCCAAATGTCTGTCATCAGAATGAGAAGTATCATATTCAGGTCCATTTATTCAAAGTTCCAGTTTTATTATAGTGGCCTGGGAAGCATCTGCAAAGAATGGCTTCCATATCCCTGTGAATTGTATGGTTCTGTCTGCAGTACAGCATGGCTCATCATGAATCCCATATTCTATCCACCAGGATATGCTACAGGATCCTTTTTTTGCCCTTCCTTATTGGAACTTTGCAACAGGTAGAAACACCTGTGACATCTGCACAGATGATCTCATGGGATCCAGAAGCAACTTTGATGGCACTCTTATCAGCCCCAACTCAATCTTCTCTCAGTGGCGCATCTTGTGCGAAGCTATTGAAGACTACGATGCATTGGGAACCATTTGCAACAGTAAGTCTAGATTTGTAGTGCTATTTAGCTGTTACTACAGTGTCCTTAAGATCTAATGAAGACATTTAAGAATTCTTTCTTGTTTGGATATGGAATCTAGCCGGCTTAAATTTATCTTTACTTCAAATTACAACCACCACCACCACCACCCCATTCGGAGGACATGACAACTTTTTTTATCATTAATCAGGATAACTGTTATGTGGAACACTTCCAATTTTGGACGTTGAGGAAAATTCTGCTTTCTCCGAAATTTCTCTTTAGGCTGCAAATCTTGAGATTTTTAGCAAGACTCATTCCACTGCCCCAGTTAAGCTACTCTGTGCCTTGCTTTTATTGTCTAAGGATTTGAAGGTAAATAGGGTCAAGGCCATCACCCAGCCAGGAGAAGAGAGTTTCTTTGATCTGTTCAGAAAGATAGGCTCCTTGCCTCTTAAAGTCTGGCTTGTCTAAAAGTATATTTAATCTAATAATTTTTGTCACTTTATTTACATGGCTGCTTTAATGTTTCGACCAGGAATAGTCCCACTTAAGTCAGTGACTCCATTTTTAATATTTTTTCGCCAACAGCCAAGACCAGCAGGAACTGAAGTAATTATATCATGATATTATATATTTCTCATATGTATCTATGGCTTTTGTTTGTTTCAGGCGTGGTAACCTTTTCTTTTGCTTTCTAAATCTGCAAGGAATTGCACTTCCGATTTTTGGTGATTTGCTCTTGAGTTCTTGAACAAATTCAGAAGACTGCAGGCCCCTAAAAAAAGAGCTTATGGGCTGCAGGCAAATATACATTGCATATCCCTGGTTTCCATAGAAAAGTAGCAATATCACAGCTCAGCAATGCCCACCCCATTTCACAAAAGCTTCCTTTCCTAAAAGGAGGAGTGCTGGCATTTATTATTTAAAGTATTTCATATTGTGTATTCCGTAGAACAATACTGTAATGCCGGTTAGCGTTATTTTCCCCATATTGAGAAGACGGGAGAAGGCAGTGGCTTGCAAAGCAAGTCCATGGGTATCTCAGCAGATGTTAATCCTTCTGATTTCCAGAAAGACTGTCTCAGTAAATGTGTGTAATTAAATATGTATGTCTGTATACGATTGTTGCTGAAGGCAGGGAGTCTAGCTTTTTTCTGGGACATACTAGTTGTTTGAGATCCACACTGAAGGCCCCACTACAAAAAAGGGGTAGAGCTCAGAAGAGAAAACTGGGTAAATCCAAAAAAAAAAAAAAACACCCTTGGTTTTATTGAATTTAAAAATATCTTAACTGATACGGTTCTTTCCTGTGTTAATTTTTTTCCCTTCTGTCCCATTAAAAATTACCATTTTGCAACAACATTTTGCAGAGGCTACAGATCCCATTCCTAAGAGATTGGGGAAGTCACATGTGACCCTGACATCTGAGCATTCACACCTGTAATCTAAGGCCATTGACTGAATTAATGGCAAAACCAAAATTTAAACCAGAGTCTTCCTGACTCAGTGCCCCAGAAGTAGGTCTTAATCTTATATATAGCAATGATTTCTCTCACCCTCCTTCCACCACGAGTGCCCCAAAGTAGTAGGGAAAGAGAAGAAATCTATTCAGACCAATGTTTTATGTTTCATTGATCCAGTTTGCCGTCTTCAAACGTATGTGAAAACCAACTTGCATTTTATACATCCACATCTGCACATTTGGGAATGTTCTAGTTTAATTCACAACTCAAAACATCTAGACAAAAAAATTGTACATATTGGGAAACAAGGTACATGCAAATGAATACCATTTTTTACCCAGCCTTTGGGGGCAGGGGCAAACCAATGCCTAAATATGGTGAAATGAAGTTACAAGTAGGAAAAAACAATTAACAGTTGAACACAACCAAAATGGACAGATAATGTATAAATCTCCCATATATTGCCTGTCTTAGGCATATGATACAGTGGCCTTTGGGAAAATAAAAGGCATTCAACGGCTAAGTGTTCTTGTGGTACGCAACATTAACTCTGAGTGGTTCTTAGCTAAACACTAGGGATGTGAGCTCTTTTCTCTAAGTCTGACCTCCCTGCGTTATTTCTTAGATTACGTGGTTGACCTGGTAATACAGCAGATCTTATTCCCTCACCCTCACGCCCCTGCTTCTTTCTTTTCAAATATCAGGCACAGAAGGTGGTCCAATTAGACGCAATCCAGCTGGAAACGTAGCCCGTCCAATGATGCAGCGCCTTCCTGAGCCTCAGGATGTTGCTCTTTGCTTAGCAGTTGGATTATTTGATACGCCTCCGTTCTACTCCAATTCAGCAGACAGTTTCCGTAACACAGTAGAAGGCAAGTCACTTCAAAAACAAAAAAAAAACAACCTGTAATACAAGGGTGAAATCCACCATACTCATTAAATTAAAGTGGGTAAAAACTGTTCAAATCCTTTTGTGGGACAAGAAATTGTTTAGGAAATCACCCATGAGATCCATTACAAGGGGAATGTATTTTCAAAGTCTGGAAATGAATGTGGGGGAACTCCTTTATTTAATTCAGCAGGTTTTCTCAAAATAGAATAATAGGAGGGAAACAAGTCTGTAAATATTCTTTTGTTTTCTGTGATCACCGGCCCTATTAATTATGGGTGAGATTAAAGCAAATGATGTTATTCTCAACATCAGCAAATAATACTTTTTAAGGCTAAGGGTTACAGTATTTTGTATCAGGAAATATTTTTCATTAAGAAATGCTCCAAAGAATGGCATATTCTTAACTTTTGTTACAAGCAGTGACATTCTTGATTTTATTTACAGATACCATCTCTCTCCATATTAGACTTGGAAGCCACACACATTAGACAGCACATAGGCAGAGGATATAGGACACAGGAAATTGTCTTACGCAACATCCGATCATGATTTACCAAGCTTCAGACTAGCCCACTACTGATAGGTCAGGGGCCAAATGGAGGCTCCCAACTTTCTGGTGGGCCCAGAAGACCATTTGGGGATGTCCCTATAAAATGAAAGGCTAAAATTGGGGGGGGCATTTGAGGGGGTTCTCTTGGAGTTTAAAGGTGGTAATGGGATTTGGAGACCTTTGATATGCAAGCTGCTAGAATTCCCATCCTCTACGTTACACACAAATACGCACACATGCATGCGCACACACATACAACATTTTAGGAAATAGACCCAAAATAGTCCTTTGGAGTATTTTGGAGTGAAAATGGGAGCATGAGACTTCTGGGAAATAAACTGTTGCCATCCTTCAAACCCTGTTAAGACTTGAAAAGCCCTTTGAAATGATGGTGCTGATGTTGTACTGTTTTGCTTCCAACCTTTGGTAATATAATCTCAGGTTGCTGGGTTGCCACTTCTGGGCTGGCTGTCCAAAATCTAGAACAGTGGCTCTCCGGAGTTCCAGGCTGAAGTTAGTCTAGTCCTACCTGGAGATGCCAGAGTTTGAATCTGGGAACTTTGGAATGCAAAGCATTTTACACCTACTCAGCTGCAGCTCCACCTCCATAAAGCAATGGCATTTGTGCGTGAGAGCCAGTCTGGTCCAGTGGTTAAGGTGTCGTAGTGGAAACTGGGAGGCTGGGAGTTCTAATCTAACCACAGGCACAGAAGTCAGTCCTGGTCCATAGGAAGAAGGCAATGGCCAACCATTTCCAAAAAAACTGCCAAGAAAACTATACGGACTTATGCATGTAGTCACCAGGAGTCAAGACTGATTCAAGGAGGTGTGTGTGTATGTATATATGTATGCATGTATGCATCCATCCACCCACCCACCCACACACACACACACATTTTACATACATACATAGGGATATCTCTGTCCTTGAACCCTGTACGAAGAAAGATACAGAGAAGTTTAGAAAAGCAAGTAAGTTTCCTGTTTAAGACACTTGCTACAGAAACAGCTATGTACAATAGCAGACATCATATTTACTGTGCAAAGTAGACTTTATTAACGTACAAAAAGCATTCTAAATAAAATTAACATGACCTTTCCCAATTAATTAAATTAAGCAGCTATACCAACCAACTATGACTTAGTTAAATATGTTGCCTGAACACAGTTAAGTATGCTAAGTATACATTTTAAAAAGTTCTGTCCCAACTGGACAAGCCATTTACACAGGCCCAGTCCAGCCGGTATAGTTATTTTTATGTTAAGATATGAAAGCAAGTCAGAAATAAACCACCAACAACAAACAATTCAGAAACCCAATTCAGCACCAGAGATATACAGGTAGACCTCACTTACCGACTGCCTCATTTAACAACCATTTGAAGTTACCACATTGTAAAAAAAAAAAAAGAGTTTTGTGACCAGTCCTTGCATTTATGACCGTCGCAGTGTCCTGCAGTCCTGTGATCACCATTCTTGGCTTCACACTCAGCTTCCAACAAGCAGAGCTGAAAGAGAACACAGAAGTAAAAATCACAAGTCACAGTTACATGATGTCTCACTTAACAACTGCAACGATTTGCTTAACTACCGAATGGGAAGCTATGTTGTAACTCCGTCGCAATCACGTTATTTTCTGCTTAGCAACTGCAGCGCTCAGCAAAGGAGTTGCTGGTCCCAGTTGTGGTCACTAAACAAGGACTACCTGTAGCTGGATATGAAGGGACTGAAGCAGTCTCATAACTACTAGGAAAAAAAAAATCTTTGAGAGAGTGATTCAATCTGATGTTGCTTTGATTGAATCACCCGACTGAGCTGATCTGTGAAGTAATACACCTTTTACTTCTAGAAGGAAAGAGAAGCAGCATCATTGCCTCACTTCTGAGGCATCCTCCAGCAGCATCACTAGCTGGAAGAGGCTTCTGCTCACGCATCATACGTTTACGCATGCATGCATGGATGGATTTGTTGGGTTTTTATCCAGCCTTTTCAGTCAGGAGTTCAAGATGTCTTGTACAATGCTCCTTCCCCACAGCTTTAGCGTTGTAAGGTAGGTTGGGCTGAAAGAGAATGCCCAACATCACCCAGTGAGCTTCTATGGCCAAAAGTGGGTTTAAATCTAGGTTCCTCAAGTGCCAGTCTAACAACTTAACCAGTCCACCACGCTGACTCTCAGCAGTGGTCAAGGCTTTGATATGAAGCACCTTGTTGAGGCAAATTGCACTGGCTTTTTATCTCAAAGAAGAGAATTATTATCACAGTGAATTTAAGCCACCATGCCAGGGGTGTCCACAGGGAGAGGTCAAAATGTCAAGGTGGGGCTGAGACTGGGTGATCAAAGCCCCACTCCACCCCTTTTTTTTTTTTACCTGTGTCGCATTTAGAGATGTCCCATCCAAAAATATAGTTCAGTATCTGACATGATCAAACGGTTCAGTACGTTTCACCTAAAACAGCAAAACTGAACAGTGAAAATATATAATCCCATATCCTATTTCAGTATTTTGGTTTTCCTCATTTATTGAGTCACTGATTTCAGCGGAGCAAAAAAATATGCTGACAGAGGATGCAGTAAAACATGGTTGGAGCTGCATAAATGAATCTCCTGCCCTCACCCCCACTTCTAATCTTATGGATCAAGAAGTCTTATTATGTGTGTGTGTGTGTGTTTTCATTCTGTTCTATGTCCTCTCAAGATTTTTTATGGAAATAAAAAAAAAGTTGAAAATGCAGTTAGGGAACAGAAAAGGCTTACCAGTTGATGAGAAAGTCACCTTGTCCTCAACCCCACAGAAAAGATAAACCCATCTGGGAAATAATTGGCTGTACCATTTTTCCTGTATGTTACTGCATATTTAGAATAATGTATTCTGGCAGAGCCATGTTTGTTTCTGCACTGCCTTTTTTCATTTTCTACAGCTGCAGTACAGCAACACCTGACAGGAAAGTGTGAGCTTCCAACTGTTTGTTAAGTACACAAGATTTGGCATTTTGCTTAGTGGCTTTGTACCTGCTAGCATCGAACAGCAAAATGAAATCTTTCTTTTCCAAAAGATCTTACCATCTGAACATCAGTAGCAAATGGAGGAGAGATGGAAAAGAGAAGAGCGGGGAAAAATGAACACAAAGCCATTTATGTGGACTTAAATTTGGCCGCTGGCACCTCAGTTTTGTCGAGTTTCAATGCTACACTTGGGGAATGAGTATTATAGGGTGAACATTGTTTGTTAGTTATATTTATATCCCATCAGGACCTCAAGGGTTTTTATAGGAGGCTAAAAAGATACATATTTAAAGACAGAGTTTCAAGAATGAGAATAGCGCATTGCTTGGACAGAGATGTTTCACAAGTGTGTTAAACAAGCTTAGTAACATTGCAAGAATGAATTTGCAAGGAATTATTATACAGGATCCCCCTGTTACGCTGCATGGTATTAAATACTTAATTTTACTCACCCTGATTACAGCAATCTAGCTTCATTTTATCATCATGCTGAATAACAGTCGAGATTCTTACGTGCCAAAAATCAGCTAGAATGCTAGAACAGGGAACGGTTGGGTTTTCCAGAAAATACTGTGTCCACTAGGAGCACAGGAGCGCCCACATTTATTAAATGCATACAGTGGTTTCAGCTATGTTATTACCAGGTTGATATACAAAATAATTTGTTTTATTCAAGGCTAGAAAACACAGTCTCCCTTCTTTTGTCTTCCCTATCTACCTCATTTTGTGCAATGTTATGTTAGGCAGGATTGTATTTAGCTGAGGACTACATTTGCTTCCACAGAAGAGTTCCAGAATAGCTTCCCATTTGTTTCTTTTCTTATTCATATGTGCAGGCTACAGCAATCCTTCAGGAAAGTATGATCCAGCAGTGCGAAGTCTTCACAATCTGGCTCATCTCTTTTTGAATGGCACTGGAGGGCAAACTCATTTATCCCCAAATGATCCCATTTTTGTCCTCCTCCACACGTTTACAGATGCTGTTTTTGATGAATGGCTGAGAAGGCATAACCCCGGTGAGATGTTTTGATTTGTGTTAGTTCTCTATATAGAATCCAAGGTACAATCCACACCCAACATAGCGCTGAGTTAAATTATCCAGGCAAATATCCCTGTCTATGTAAAGAAGATGCCAAGATCCCACTGCAGCAATGAAACCAACCACAATTGCATCCTTTATCTCTTCTTACTAGAAGCAGAATAAAAATTAGCAACAAAAGGAATTACTGTATATATTGTTGATAAAGGATAAATCACACCAAAAGATGATAAGCTCTTATGGCATTTCCTTGCATCGGCAGATCTAAGAAACAGAGATGGCAATATTTTTTTTTACATCTCCTACCTTTACAAATGTGTAGCTCTATGTATTTCCATCTCCCAAAACAAAAGCAAAACAATGCACACTCTGTTGCAGGGTACACATTTGAAGGTAGTCTTTAAAACTCTTACAGCAATGTTGTGTGTGTGTTTTAATAGCAAGCCAAATGGCACTTCTTAAGTTTCATATGACTGTTCACTGCTGCAGCAGAATCCCTTAAATTCATGCCATGCTTCACTGAGTAATAACAACCCAAAGGAACTGCCATGGTAGAAGTTAGATGGTTCTTTGTGGGTCTTACAGGACAAATGATGATGATCGAAAGAAACATTTAGGCTCTGTATCATGAGATCAACAGTTATTAATGGTGGATAAAGTAGTTGAGTAAGTACTTGTCCAGTTTTATTCATTGCACCCATGACCAAGATCCAAGCATGAATGTTAAGCATGAATTAATTTTCAGCTTTCATGGGGCAAAAATGACACTTTGTGAATATCACTGTATTCTTCATGAGTGGGGGGAATTCCTTAAAACAGGGGCAATAATTTCAACTCCCATCAGTCTCAGTCAGCATGATCACTGGCAAGGCATTGTGGAGTTGGTATTCAAAACATCTGGAATACACCAGATTGACCATCCCTATTTTAGAATGTGTCCTAGAATATTTTTCAATCCAAAGGTTCTATAAAAGATTCACAAGGAAACTCCTAAGTATAAGTTCAGATTTACAGATACTTTAAGACACCTGAGAGGTTTAGAAAAACATATGCATAATTGCTAATTTTTGATTTTGTCGCTGTGGTGATTCAACCATAGATTCTTGGTGTGAGGTTGACTTTTTATTACTAGAATCAACTTCTACTCAACACACAAAATTATTATAGAATACTGATTGGTCTTATCCATGAGTCTACTCTAAGCTTTGTGATATTTGGCATCTGTAGAAGGAATTTTTTTCTATAAGGTGGAATTAAACACTAATTCAAGACTAAAGGCTTCACTTTATTTGCATGTCATTCATGCCTCTTTTAATAAAATAGTTCAAAGATTGTCAGTCCATTAATTAACCAACTAATGTTGGGAGCTGGGCAGCAGCATTATTATTATTATGGTTGGTCGCCCAGTCAGTCAGATGTTTAAACTGGATTTGGCATTTTTATCCACCTACTGAGTCTTTCCCAAGGACCTGGGATAGACAAATGTTGTTTGACAGTATTAAACATATCGTTGCGGAATGTAAGCTGTTCCAAGTAAAGCTGCCTTTTGCAATTGACTGATGGTGATTTTGCCAATGC